ACCATGAAATTATAATGTTAATTATGTTATGGAAAATATAGACAAGATAAAGTAGGTGGGAGGGAGAGGGAGGGAGGGAGNGAGAAGAAATAGTGTGAGTGATTAAGATTGAGCGATGAGCCTCCTTACAGTTTACACTTCTGCTCCATTGATTTATTGCTCACTTCTTGTTGCAAGTCGAAAAAAAAGACATGTGACTGCAAGCATATCTGATTTTTTATTATATATCAATCTTATATTTTCTAGGATTCTAATATTTAAGTAAGGACGGAAGGAAAGAGAGCGAGAGAAAGTGTCATTGAGAGAGTGAAGAAGAGAGAGAGAGAGGGACAGACAGATTAACAGATAGAGAAACAGGCAGAGTGACTGTGAGAGATGATGTACTTATAACATTGTTCAGTAATTAAACTTTTTAGTAAAGATTTGATAATAGACAACATAATTTTACAAATACAAAATTATCGAAAATATTGGTTTATAAATTTACTTGGTTTATAGTAAAAGGCAATATTTATCTATATAGGTAAATAAACAAACAACAATGAACGAAATTTATAAATAAGTTATTGGGAGAAAGGGAGAGTAAGAGAGTGAATGAGTACGTGAGTAGATTATTGGCTGGATAAGTTAAATTGTGTTAGTCAGACGAATGAATGAATGAAAAATTGTTATATTTACAACATAAAAAAGAGAGAGAGAGAGAGAGAGAGAGAGAGAGAGAAAATATGTATATTTTTGGAGGGGAGCCTTTGATTGGGTTTGTGAGGCAGGCTTGGAGTATAGATACGTGCTGACAAAAGAATTTAATTTTTGATTTTATTACTGAAGTAATATATATATGGGAACAACAAACAAGATAACGAATCCCCTTTTAGGTGAATTAGGTGAATCGGAAGGCAACAGTTGTTTAGTTGAGGCATAAGAAGACTCAGAAAAGAATATACACNTATATATATATATATAAAGTTCACCCTTAATTGAGAGATGATGATACATGGAAAATTTAGAGCATTGAGAGCGAGAGAGAGAGAGAGAGAGAAAAGAATGATTAAGATAGAGATAACACAAGAGAGTCAGAGAAAGAATGAAAGCAGCAAGAGGTGGATAGGTAGTCATTGTATGCAAAAATATTCACATAAATTATTGTAAGAAAATTTGCCATGCATGTGTGAACAGTACCGTCTTAAAATGTTTAAATCATTAAATACCCTTTAGATAATTAATGCTACTGGTCTATGCTTCGACCTAAAACTGACTTAACCTATTCGCTTTAGGATCCGTGGTTAGAAAATGTTATACAGCAAATATTAAAAGGAGGTAAACGCATATCCTTTTTTTTCTAGTTGTTTGATTAGATATGTAATTTTACCTCGATCGGTAATTAAACCTTTTGTTAAAAATTTGTCAATAGAAAACATAATTATAGAAACACAAAACTATTGAAAATATTGGTTTATAAATTTAATTGGTTTAAAATATAAGACAATATTTATCTGTATAAATAACAATGAATAAACAAATGAATAAAATCCAGAAATAAGTTATTGGAAGAAAGGGAGAGTGAGTGACTGAAGTGATGAAAGAATGAATGAATGAAAAACTGTTATATATACAATATAAACCAAAATACAATGGAGGGAAGAAATACATAACAGTAAATAGACAAATAAACGAAAAATCCGTCTGGCGTAGGTCACCGTGTTAAAACAATGAAAATGCTGTATGCATATAAAAAAATAGAAAAGAGAGAAAAATTATTTATAAATATATATTTATTACTTCAGTAATAATATCAAAAATTAAATTTTTCTGTCAGCCCGTATCAGTAGCGCCAAGCCTGCCTCACAAACCCAATCAAAAGCCCGTATCTTGAGCCCTCCAAAAATATCAGAAGTTCGCCTTTAATTGAGAGGTGATGATATGGAAAATTCAGAGCATTGGGTTATGAGTGATGTGAATGAATGAGTGAGAGCAAAAGAGAGAAAGAGAGAGAGAGAGAGAGAGAGAGAGAGAGAGAATATAGAGTGATTAAGATAGATTAATTAAAGAGAATTCGGGAAAGAATGAAAGCAGCCAGAACGGAGAGGTAGTCATTGTATGCAGTACGTAGAGATCATTGTATACAAAAATATTCATATAAATTATTGTATTGATTGATGATTATTGATTTTACCTATTCCCTATTAGTACGAACCTATTATGAATGAATGAGTGAGTGATTGCCTGAATGAGTGAGACTGAGTCAGTAAGTGATTAATGTGAATGAATGAGTGAGAGAGAAAGAAAGACAGAAAAAGAGAGAGAGAGAGAGAGAGAGAGAGAGAGAGAGAGAAAGGAGAGAGTGAGAGAAGAACATTAGAGTAATTTAGGTAGAGAGAATTAAAGATAGTCAGAGAAAGAATGAAAGAAGAAAGAGACGTAGAGGCAGACCCTCATTATATACAAAAATATTCACATACAATATTTTAAGCAAATTTTCTATGTAAGTGTGAACAGTACTATCATAAGTGTTTAAATCATTAAATACGCTTTGTTTACTTAATGCTACTGATCTATGCTTCGATCTAAAACTGACTTTACCTATTCGTCTTAGGTTCTTAGGTTATACAACAAAGATTAAAAGGAGTAAACGCAAGTCTTTTTTGAAGTTGTCTGATTAGATATGGAATTGTTGAGATTTTAATGATGGTGCATAAAAAAGGCTAAATTGTAAGCATTTAATTAAAAGTGATATAATTGATTTTTATCGTTATTCTTCAGGTTGGAATGGAATTCTAGTTAGGCCAAGTAAGGCGTCCTAATCGTGACAACGCGTCATTGGACGGCGTTTAAAAAAGGTGGAATTATCAATAAACGGATCACACATATAATAATGAGTATAAAATGGCACACGCCCAGTTGCCAAAGTCGGCGAAGATTAGGAGTGGCGGTCGTAATTACAAATGGTGTTGATTAATAGGTGGGATTGGGGGTCGAGCCGAGAGTTCACACATTAGAGGTTGGCTGATCCACGCCTCTGATCCGGCAGGCCGACATCACTGAAATATATCAAACTCATATATCAGCCTTCGGAAAACATTTGTTCTTCCCTCGTTACTGGCACGATAAACCCGTATCCACGCCGAGACGGGACACGGAAAAATTTCACGAAGCCGTTTCGTCCTGAAATTAGCCGGTAAACGCTCCTTCGAAAGGGAACTTTTTTTTTTAATCGGGCGGACTTTCTTATTCCGACTTTATTTGGGTTATCGCACGGGGAGATTTTCGGACCGGGAATTTTTATTCTCTGACGTAGACATTTTAATCAAAAACAAAACCTAATTCGATCTTTTTAAAAAGATAGTTCCTACTCACAGTTAGTTGTTTTCAAAGATCCGGATTTCAAGCTTATTGCTCATCGTCAGAATAAAGAAATTTACATCCACGACTCTCAACATGACTATGAGAATGAAAAGCTGGTTTTTAATGCCGCCCAATTTTCAACGTGCGAAAAGTGGGAATTATAACACAATTAAATATTATAATAATAAATACTGTAGGAAAATGATTTTAAATTAATGATTAATTTGTGTTTTTTTAATTGATTAATTAATAAAAAAATTAAAATGATAATTATTTGGAGATCAGAAGGTGCGGTCTGGTGTGACGTAGGTTTTTCTTCCCTTTTTTAAAAAAGATAGTTCCTACTCACAGTAAGCTGTTTTCCACCTCCGTCGAGAGACGTGGTTGTAGAAATCCTTCAACCTGATGATGAAATAAGGGCTCGAAATTCGGATCGTTGGATCACTCCCTCCATCATTCATCATTCATCATTTCTATAGGTTTTCCTTTATCGTGCCAACGTTTCGATCTTTATTGAGATCATCTTCAGAGCTCAATGTGTTTGTTTTCTATCTTTTCTCAAAAAAGATTATTTAGGTACATATTTAAAATGGCAGCTAAATCAAAATCTATTATATTATCAATGCATTTATCTCTATGTTCAGTATTACATTTTTTAATTTCAGTCTCCAACCACTTTCCTCTCTTTGTTGAATCTATGTAACACTGTTGTATTTAAATGTTAGATGGTTCTTAAATTCCGAAAATTTATTCGATTTAGGCAAGTGTTCTTTAACTCTCGTTTTAATTTATCTACCGCATTGTCCTATATATTTAATGTCGGAATCATTACAATTAAGTTGGTAAACCCCGCTTTTTGCCAAATTGTCAAACTTAACTTTAGGTTAATTAATCTTTTTATGTAAGGTATTATTCGATATGAAAAATTTAGTGTCACGAGCGGGATTCGAACCCACGACCTTCGGCTGAATACGCCGTTGCTCTACCACTGAGCTATCGTGACTTCGACCCACTCGGACACAAACTCCCCATCTCAACATACCTTTCTAATTTTCCGACCTTTTTGCCAATTTTCATTGGGTTCGAATCCCGCTCGTGGCACTAACTTTTTCATTTCAACGAATACCTTACATAAAAAGATTAATTAATTAGAAAAAGTTATTTGGTTATTCTCTCTCTCTCTCTCTCTCTCTCTCTCTCTCTCTCTCTCTCTCTCTCTCTCTCTCACTTTCTCTATCACTCTCTCCCTCTCTTCAGACTCAATCCTCATTATTTATTTTCGTTCTCTCCCAAGCTATCCTTTTTGAAATCTGATAGTAGATTGTCTACTTTAAAACAACACACATGAAATTGACAATGACCTATAGACGATAATTTGACGAAAGCTGTCGGCGATACAATACATTTAACATTTTATTAATAATTTCATCAATTAGAAAGCGGTGAGATCTTCCAAAACAATAAGTGTATAAAGGACCAGAAACGATAAATGTCATGTACTAATTATAGTTTGGATGGCTAAGATACAGTGTACTAAATTACCAAAAATTACCAAATCGATTAAACAGGTTTATTTTTACATATTTTAACCTAAGAAGATATAAGCCACATAAGGAAGGATTTAACCAGTCTTGATCAGCTGTTGTTAATTGCTGGTTAGAACGGGATAGCTTCAGTCCATCAACACCGAGTGTGTTCAAACATGCCAATTGAAACTTATCTGATTTACCCAATCCACTCTTCATGTTTTCAAACTGTAATTATAACTGGTTTCGCACCTGGTTATAACTAAAAGATATGATCAGATTGATCTAAAAACATGCAAAATATAACAAGCCTACACTTCATACAAGCAATACAAGGTTTGTAAAAAATATATATATTTTTTTTTTTAACTGCTTTTCATTTAATTGGTTTGTTTGTATAACTCACATCGTTATTTATCTTGTATAATCTATTGTTATAGGTTACTATGAGAATGCACGAAAAAAATCGTATTCTTCCAAGATTGGACCATTTGAAAATAAGCAGTAGGAGATGGTGGTAATATACAAAATTTCTGTTAGATGCACATGGGCCAAATATTTATTTTAAGTGCTTTATCCATTACAATAATATATTTTTAATATGAAAATCAAGTTACAAGACAAACTTACATAGTTGGCATAAAATCCTCTACATATTTATCAAACTGATGTCTGCCATCTTAAATAATTTTAATAGAAACATCTGTTTGCTGACTTGTCTATTTCTGGCACATTAGTATTAAAACTGTGATAACAGCTGATTGTTATTTTTGTACCTAGTCCATGTTAGAGTTTACGAAAAAACGATATGTAGATACATACAAACGGTTTTGTACGGAAATTTTAACATTTATACTGACGAACTTTTATGCAGAAAACAGACCTTCCTTCTAGCGAATATTATTTAAAAATATTTTCTTATCAATTCCATATTATTGAGGATGTAACGATCTTATCGCCCTATCAATGTAGGTTCCGCTTACTTTGCAGCAGACGTACCACTGCCGCGTCTCTTGGGGAAAAGCAGTATGGCTCGGGTGTCTTTCTGGATGAAGAAACGTCTTTCGATCGAGTATTGACGTCTAATCAAAAAGATAGTTCCCAGTACTTACTACCTTTCCTTTTATGTTCTAGTAAAATTTGGAATCCCCCAAGGAAATACCCTTGGACTGTTTCTTTTTACCATACACACTTCATCACTAGTTTTGCCGCCGATGCCTAATCATATCACAAGATTACCACAAATCGAGAATCAAAGTGAACATAAAAAAATATGCTGAAGTTAATTTTGGGGACCGCGGTAGCCGAGTGGTTAGCATGAGAGACTCTCAGGCCGCGGTCGTGGGTTCGATTCCCACCATCGCCTCTGGCCCTTTTTTCACAATAATAACCCCCCCCCCATTTGAAACACATAAGAATTGTCACCATGGCTAATATGCATAGTTCATAACGAAAAAAAAACAAAGTTAACGCAAAGTTAATTTTGCGTTAAGAAAGTCAATGTGCCATCCACTACGACTGAAAGACTCACTGATGCCGACTGTTGACAGTATGATACATTGGGCTGTATTCTGACGTGACGACGGCTGACTGACCCTCAACAAAACACTCATTCCTAAGGATTTTTGAGAAAATTTTGAGGCTCAACCATCATTTATAATTCATTCGGTCTCTCCAATCATAAATCCAGGAGCCTAAGAACAATCCTTATTTGATTAAAAGAGCTAACGATTAAGCGTGCTTGAAACTCTCCAATGAAACAATACATATTGATTTTCATATTCCACGAGTTGAGAACATGTTATAAAGGTCTCCACAATACACCATGTCCCTTGGTGAAAAATGAACTCAAAAAAGCCTAAGGGCCAAAATAAGAAATCTTTTCAATAAAGGAAAACTAAACAGTAAATGGGAATAATACAAAAACTCCCTAAGTGAATATAATACTGCTCTTAGAAATGCAAAAAGAAAAACCTAACGACACATAAATCCATTACGCAGCAGCTTGAAAAAGGAAAGTCTTTGAATGTAAACTGGATAATAGCAATGTTAAAAAGTCGACAAGAAGAAATAGATAACAAATAGGGACATCAATCAATGAAAATAATACCATAATGATGCCCTCAAGGGGGTGTACTATCGCCACACTTGTTGTCGATTAATGACCTGATATTATAGCTAAATAGGCCAGTATATATTATACGTAAACCTAGTAAAAATAATAAAGGGCAAACATGTTTTTATTATCAAATGAAGCACTGGCAAATTATTAGAAAAACAATCACCAAAAATTTGTCTTTTAAACCTGTATTCTAACTTTTTTTAAATAAAATCACGAAACCGTCAGATATAAATTTGTAAATATTAACTAATAAAAATAAATAACAACTAGGCAGAACATTTAGTCATTCTTGATAGCTAGTTGATGTCAGATTTAGTTGGCATATTTCCCAATAAGACCGTTCAGGAGGCTGTTTATGTCTGGAGAAATGTATCAGTGACCGGTCCATTTACAATCCCTCGCAGAATAATGCGATCAAACGAGTCCTACGTAGGTCATTTCTGACACTATTTATTGCCATGAAACATTTATTGTTCGTTAGGGTCAGACAACTATGACATCGTGCTAGTTCTAGGGCGTTACAGCTCCTTATGAACATACTAATACAATTTTATGACTGCTATTTTCATATACAACTGATTTAAGTGTTCAACCTCGGCATAACGTTCACCTTTACTTTATTTGTCCTTTATAACTTGTTTCTACAGCTTTGTTCAAACTTAGAATAAATCCTAGAAAAATTTACAAACTCAAAGTCGAAAACATTTTTTATTATAGGTTTATTGCCCCTTCTGTACTTTGTATTCATTATGCCATAATTCAATATTTACAGTGACACTAAATAAATGTCTTAAGGCGAGTCGACGACATCTGTTGTTCTCCCAACGTTTACTAAGGACTGATAAGGATGTCATCCTGATAAGGATGTCCTAGAGCCATCCCTTCTTTAGTCGTCGGGGTTATAGGGGTGAATTATTTTGGAAATGGTTTTGTGATAATAAGTTAGGAGAAGAATTTATCGTGGAATCTAGAAAATTTGTTGGACATTTGTTTATGTACAAAGAATTTTTGGATGTCATTATAAAGGGTGTGTTGGATACAGAGTATGGAGCGTTAACTGTCATTTTGAAGACTTTGAACTGAATGGACTGTATTGTTTGTATGTTGGTATGTTTAGCATCTACCCTATAGATCTAGTCCATATGACTAAATTCAAAGTGAGAGTAGAGAAGTAGTCCGAATTTTTGTCTTTTATTTGTGTCGTTTCCAGGCTAGACGTGAGTCAAGGACCAAAAGGTTAAACGCAGTTTTAAGAAAAGGAGTATAAAACAGCAAAGGCCGAAGGAGGTTTAAGCAGTAAGGTTATCAGAGGTTTAGTAACAAGATTGGCCCCAGCACACTGCCCTGTGGCACTCCCTCGCCCAGAGGTCAGTAGAAAGAACAGTCCGACCCGTGGTGAACTAGAAAGAATGGAAAGATTGAAAGTAAAAGTTTGGTCTGACATACTTTAGTTTGCATAGAAGACCCCATCGAATGTTTTTTACTTTAGCATACATATTCCATAATTCTAAATATATTATGTAAAAATAAGCATTACAAAATATTCGTTATAATTTGCCGTCGTATTAAGCCGCTACATTTTTAAACAATTAACAAAAATAAAATGAAAGATCCTTAAACAGCCTGTTTGTTTTATTTTCAATATAATTATTTCTGCCTGTTGTGTTTTCTTTTTTTTCAGTGGTTAATTTTGGACGTAAAATCGCAAATCAACCGCACCAAAACGGCAAAAGCAAAAAATTTGGCTGATACTTTAATCACCTAAGTTTAATCTGATTTTTTCGCTCATAAAACATTTTCAAAATAACACACGTATATATGCTATACATTATTTTGTAAAAAATCATCAATTTTGTAGCACTATAGTCTTTAAAATGACATTTTAAATGTGAGGGAAGCTTTACATTTCATTTTTGTTTATAGGAATATATTTTCTTGTATATTATGTCTTTTATTAATTTTCTTAATGTTTATTATGACAGGATTTTCAATTAATTTTAAAAAATTTTGTTTTTCATTCACATTCAATTATTTATTGTATAAAGGACAGTATTAAATATATGACAATATTGGCTAATAAATCTCCCTATGGTGATTCATATATCATTTTGACGAGTAAAAATGTCTATAGCCGAAATTTGAAAGTGTTTTGTTAAGTTTAGTGTGAAGAAAGTGAGAAGTCATAAACCAAACTACGAAAGTAAGGTTCGTGTTGTAAGGGAAAGTATGCACGGTTGTTAACTAGTAGCTAATTAAATGGTCCGCTTTTCAAAGTGACGCTTTCTTAAACAGTTGTCGGTAGTCGATTTGTCTGTATTTCAATCTTTTTAATCGACTTAAAGATATCATTTTTGTTTTTTTGGCATATCGGTCGGTGGCATACGATGAAACATTTGGCCCGTTCCGCTTCGGGGGTTTAGGTTTGCCTGCGGTACGCTAATAGCTCCGCGTTCTTCCAGGATTTTGGTAAAACGGTAAAATAAGGAGAGGAAAAGAGCACGTGTAACCGCACACGATGTGTCTGCCATTCTGATGTAATTCCCTTTGACGAGTTTCGGACCATTGTTGTGACTCAATAAGACCAGTGGTTAAATTAACTCTTGGGCAAGATTGGACAAAAAATTTACACAAATTCCCACTTTTCTAAACGGTTGCCAACCTCTTGGGATGACTCGAATTTATACATTCCTACTTACAGTTTGCACTTCTGCTCCATAGACTTATTGCTCACTTTTTGTTGCAAGTCAAAAAAATCGAGACTGCAAGCATGTCTGATTGTTTATTAAATATCAGTCTAATATTTTCTAGGATTCTAATATTTACAGAAGAAGGGAAGGGAAGAGAGAGAGAGAGAGAGAAAGAGAGAGGGGGTGGAGAGAGGGCTTGAGAGATTGAGGGAGAGAGAGAGAGAGACAGTACTTATAACCTTGATAACTAATTAAAGTTTTTAGTAAAAATTTGACAATAAAAAACACAAAAATATTGGTTTATAATATAAGACAAATTTATCTATATCAATAACAATGAATTAAAAAATGAAAATGAATAAAAGTTATCGGGAGGACGGGAGAGTGAGTGATTGCGTGACGTGAGTGCATGAGTGATTGATTGGCTGAATAGGTGAGAGTGAGTGAGTGAAGGAATGATTTGAATGAATGAGTAAATGATTGGCTGAATGAGTAAAACTGAGTCTGTAAGTGAGTGTTGTGAATGAAAGAGAGAGAAAGAGAGTATGTGAGAGATAGGATGTGTGAAATTTAGACTGAGCGATACATAGAGATACAAAAAAAGAGCTAGAGGGTGAGAGTACAAAACAAAAAGGAGCAGAGCCCACAAAATGACATTCTTATACATTATTTTCCTCTATTAGAATGTCTTATTGAAGTTAGTTTTAAAGAGAAACGGAGAACTAATAAGGCGAAAGAAGAAAAAATATAGAAAAAAGATAGATAGAAAAGAGATAGATGGGTAGGTAGATATTTAGATAAATGGATAGATAGATAGAGAGAGAGAGAGTGAGAGAAAGCGAGGGAGAGAGTGTGTATGGGCTTGAGAGATTGAGGAAGAGAGAGACAGGGACAGACAGACAAAGAGATAGAGAAAAAGACAGATGGAGTGAGTGTGAGAGATAATGTACTTATAACCTTAAGATAGAAATGCAAAAAAAGAGCTAGAGCGTGAAAGTACAAAACAAAAAGGAGCAGGGTCCACAAATTACATCCTTATGCAATATTTATCTCTATTAGAATGTCTAATTGAAGTTAGTTAAGTTAGTTTTAACGAGAAACGGAGATCTAGTAAGGCGAAAGAAGGAAAAGTATAAAAAAAGATAGATAGACTGAGAGAGATGAGATAGAGATAGATAGATGGATAGATAGATAGAGATAGATAGATAGATAGATAGATAGAGAGAGAGAGAGAGAGAAAGAGAGAGAGAGAGAGAGAGTAAAAGAGATCTAAGGAAAGTTACTACGAAGGAAGGAAGGAAAAGTATATAAGACAAAAGAACGAAAAGGACATGAGTAAATAGAAGTAGGTAAAATAAGTAGAAGAAAAAACTCATTCACATTAGTTAATCCATTCACAAGTGTTCATGTTGAGAATCAAAAATTCACGAGGTTCACTCTGTATATCGTATTGATTATAACGACAGAAATATTTGTAAATTTCAGAAATGGCTAATAGTATAACGTACAGTCAATACTTCTATTCTTACAAATTATCTCCTATGTCGAAATATAGATTTATGAATCTTTGTTTATTTTACATTCTTAAATAAACATTTTTAATGTGTAAAGCTGTTATATGTAAAGAAAAGTAAAAGGGTTATTTTTTTCATAACTATAGTTAATACATTATTTTATCGAACAACTTCTAACAAATTTCATACAAATGGTATCAACTTGGATTTCTCAAAAACTACTAGACCTAAAAAAAATAGAAAAATTTTTGTATAGCAATAAAGGGTACACTAGTAGGTTGACACATATGTTACATGCATAAAAAATATATTTAATTATGTTTAGATTGTTCTTCAATTAATAATTGTGTTGAAGTGGGTGTCAGATGACCTCCTTCCGATCCTCTTCAATAAAATAAAATATATGTTGGAAGTGTTATTTATGTTTAAAATCGTGTTGAATTGTCTATTTTCGTTCACATTACAGCATAATCGAAAACACGACGGGCATGAGAAAGTGAAAAAAAACCTTTGGAAGATTTGTAGCCGTTGAAAGTAAATTGATATGATTATTGTGACAAGTAGAGGTACAAGATCACGGGAGGCCGTCGAAAAAAAGGAAAAGGAAAAAAGGTCGTCCGGACGGTCGGGGTGAAAACGGGCGGGGTAAGACGAGTAGCGCTGTGTTTAGCACCTCATTAGGCCATCCAACATCTCCCCATGAAATCGGGATATACCTGCCACTCTTTAATCTTCCACTCTCCATACGTCCACGGGTAGGTTGTAAAAAACTAATACGGAATGAAACTAATGGCCGGACATTCTTTGTACGACCTATCGGCACTTTTTTCGTGCCGGCTTCGTAAATGATTGTTTTATCGGTGTCCGAGGAATGCCGGCTACCCTCAATCAAAGACGCAGATCGATCTTTACCACGGGGAGGAATGAGAGAGAAAAAAAAGGTTTTTTCAAGCAAATCACATTTCAGATAATCATTCGAAGGGAAGTGGACGGAAATGACGTTTATAGATTCCTTTTCAGAAATGATTTCTGTATTCTATACTGACAATTTCAGGTTTGTATTACACTCATGAATAAATTATGGCGAATTCGTAATCATAAAGCTGAAAAAACTAAAAAACAACCAACTAAAACGGAACAATTTCGTAATTACTCAAGTTATGGGACTCAAGAACCGAGACGACAATATCAATCGACTACATATTTTTAAAGATTCCCGATCGAAGCTAAGCGAAGCGATTAGGCATTTACTAACGATACAAATATATTACGCATACATATACATAAATATTTTTTTACAAAGGTTCGCAACAGTAGAGGTCATTAAAGCCCGTATTAAAGTTGTCTTAGACGTCTCTCTGGGGGCGTATGTGGCTGCAACGGTTTAGACGTTGACGCTCATCACTGTAAGGTAAAGGTCCCGGGTTCGAATCCAAAGGCCCTGCATTCGAACCCAACATACAAATGGGTTTTTTCAAAAACACCGGCAACCCGAAGGTTGATAGGACCTTTGCTGTTGCGAACCCTCGTAAGACGGCTCTCTCTCTATCTATCTCTACCTTTGTATCAATTATCTTTACCTTCTTTTTACAGCCCTGTCAACCTCATTATTTTCTGTTTTGATATGATTTACACAACACCGAATCGAAATTAGCATACAACAATATACATTTGTTATTTTCAACCTCTCTATGCAACTTATCTATTGATCTATCTATAAGATATACAGATTTCTTTATATATCTATCTTTCTCCATTTCTATCTTTCTTGTAATAACTTGTACATTCTCATCACGGTTTGTTTTCTGTTTTCTCACGCATTCTTTTTTCTTGTAACTTTTTCTTTCTCTCCCTCATCTTCATTATTAACTAAGTATTCTTAGTTTACCTGCTTTTTTAAATTATGTCATCATCGATATTATAACTTACAACGTTGACTTATTGACTTATTTTGCACATTACATATCAGCATGTACTTACTCTTACTTACTTACTTACTCTTACTTTTACTCACTCTCTCTCTCTCTCTCTCACTCACTCTCACTCTCTCTCTCTCTCTCTCTCTCTCTCTACCTCTCTACTACCTCGCTCTCTCTCTCCCCCTCTCATTATCTCATAATCGTTTCACTGTTTTCTTTCATATTTATCTAATTAACGTTTTCCCTCTTGTTTCTTTCTTTAACTTTATATGTTTAAGTTTAAATTTTCTCCTGATTTTTACACGTATACTCTACTCTTAATTTACTCTTGATTTCTTCCCATTTTTTTCTACTTTTACTTCATTAATTTACTGAATCTCTATTTTTCTCTGGAATCAAATTAAACATGCAAATAAAGAGAAATACTGTATATGAATTTAATTTAAAATTCATGCTCACTTTTTGTTATATGCTACTGC